TGTATAAAAATAATGTTCCTTGAAAAGTACATTTTAAAAGTCTGCAGTGTTAGAAATTTATTATTGATTGGGGACTTTCTTCCCACTTTACTTTGAGGGTTCAGCCTTGGACTCTAAATAAGATTCTTTCTATGGATTTCAGAAACCAGTCATCAATCTTAGTGCTTAAAAGGAATGTGTTAAAAATGCTACATTCAACAATATTGTTGTGGAAGTAGGGAGTGATTGCTTTGACATTTAGATTTCTTCTATTTCAGATCAAATGTTAATGTTATACTTCAAGGGATGTGACTGAGGGTCAGTTTACCAAACACTGAAATTTTAGGAACTCTCATTATATTAATGTGGAAGTAGAGTTCTCCAATTCCGTTATACTTACAAGAACTTTTGTTTCAAACAAAGAACATGTTATTTCATTAACTAATGGAGTCAAATGAATTTAGGTTTAGGCTGTATGGAGATTAGATTGTGCTACATATAATAGAAAATTCCAATATAGTAGTAGTGGCAGTGTTTCTCAACTTTAAGTTTGGGGACATACCAAATTGCTGCTTTTCTTCAGAGATTATTATAAAATCCTCAAAAAGAAAAAGGGGGAACATTTTAATATATTTGGATTGTAACGGTCCTTATGCTTTTAGAAATTCTCATGAAATATAATAGTATATTACTGTTAATCTAAAAAAATAATTTTATAGGCCTAAGTGTTTGTTACAGTTTATTTCAGATATTATTCAGACACATTCTGTTTTAGATAAGTCTGTCAAGTGAGGATTTACAACTATTTAGGCAACTATTATATTGTAGACTAAGTGGTAAATTCATTTACATATTATTTTGTGAAACATACTGTCCTAGAATATATTATCCCAACCTTGTGAAGGGTGTAACAAATTACCTGCCAGGGAACTCCTGTTCATCAATAGTTTAGAAACCCAATCAGTTTATCTTCTTAAGTGAATAACATTTGTTGTGCCTATTTGAGATTAGAAGTATTATATTCTCTAATTTGGGTAATATAGTTGGCTATTCAGACTTAATTTCCTGCTGAAAACAGCTAGGAAGTATTGAGTAAAGTATTTTAAAAGTATGGCACAACTGACAAGATAGAAATGATCAGGTCAGAATCCAGGTGGGTCCGTCCCTCCTCGCACCACCCCACTTTCTCTCCATGCCACAGTTTGTTGCCACAATTCAGTCACTGATTCTCTAGAATGTCCCTCGTCTGGATTATCTGTTTGCTTTCTTGTGAAGATTTAATTTGTTCCTCTGTCCCCCATATTTCCTATAAATGGTTCCTAACAACATTAACATAATTGCTTATTTGTATCATTCCTATATAATAGTTTCAAAATCATACCAGTACTGCTGCAGACAATTAGATTACAAACTACTGAATAAAGTTTGATTTCTTTGCAGCTCTTTTTGTCCTTAGAATATACTTCATTAAAGATGTATGAATCAATTGTGTGTTCTAATTCAACTTAAAAGAATTGTTTTCTCTATATTTTTGTATCACCAGCTTTATATAAAGTTGGGTTCATTTGTTGCAGTTAGTATCAGCTTTTAGGGACTGTTTAAGTCAAAACTACATATTAATAACAAGGTATATTAGAGAAATCTTGCTTTAACACTCCTCAACCTTATTCTCTTCCTCCTTCTGTTGGTGACTGTTTTTATTAGCTTTTGGTTGTACCCTAACCAGTATTTCTTTTTGCAAACACACAAAAATGTGTATGTATCTCCTTCTTATATAAAAGGTTGCATACTAAATAAGCTGTGATACATCTTTTTTTCTTAATACATCTGGAAGATCACTCCATATCAGTGCATAGGGATCCTTCTCGTTCATTTTATGATGCATAGCACTCCCTTTGGGAGTGTGCCATGGTTTATTCAGTGGGCATCGGGGTTGTTTCCAGATGCTTGCTATTACACATAATGCCACACTGAATACCCTTGCACCTAAGTAATTTCCTATTTTGTCCAATGAATCTTTGAAAAAGATTTTTAGAAGTGGGATTGCTCTGTAAAAGGGTAAATGCGTTTGGACTTTTTCTGGTTATTACCACATTCCTCTCTATTGACTGTACCATTTTGCAGCCCGACCAGCAATGTGTCAGGGTGTCTGATACTATAGATCCTAGCCATAGACTTTGTTGTTGAACTTGTGGATTTATATCAATAAAGGTAATAGTAGCTCAGTGTGATTTTAAATGCATCGCATTAGAGGAGGGTTGTATATCTTTATATATGTTTTTGAGGCCTATTTAAATCCTTTCTTCTTTGACTGTCTTTTATGTTTTGCACATTTTTTTTTTCTATTGTGTTTTGGGTCTTTCCCATCTCCCTCTGTATTTAGGAGTTTTTTTGTTTTTGTTTTTAATTTTAGAGATAGTAGCCCTTTGACGTCATTAAATTGCAAATTTCTTTTTCCAGTTTGCCATTTGCCTTTTGACTTTATTATGGCAGGTTTCTGTTTTGTTTGCCATGTAAAAGTTCTATATAATTGGATTTTTCTTTTTCTTTTTTTTTTTTTATTGCATCTGGATTTTGTGTCTCAGCTAGGAAGGTTTTTCCCGCTTTCAGATTATAAAGGAATCCACTCATTTTTTCTCCTCTTGTATAATTTCATGTTTTATATTTAGAACTCTGGTCTACTTGATGTTTATTCCAATGTAGTGTAAAGTACAGGTCCAATTTTATTTTTTTCCAAATACATATCCAATTGTCCCAATTCTTTTTCCCCACTGATTTGAGATTTATTTTTGGACTTTCCATCTGTTCCATTGATCTGTTGGTCTAGTCACGTACCAGTATCACAGTGTTTTAATGACAGGCACCCAAATATTTTGCTACTTTACTTTTTGATCAGAACTAGGTAAGAACAACAATTACAGGTCTCCCTCTTCTAATTCAATGTGTCTTCAGCACCAACACCCAATGGAATACATGTGTGACATATGTATGTTGTGCAGTGCATGTAGGTAGGTGCTCTGTGGTCCTATGTTAGTGAAGACTGCTGAACCAGGAATCAGGGAACTGACTCAGTTTTTAGTACCCCTTCTAAGCAAGTCACTTACTCTCTCTGGGCCTGTTTTCTCAGCAGTTAACAAATAAAAGGAATTGAGCTAGATGGTCATCAGTGTTGTTTCTGAATCTGGTTAATGCTGATGTGGTAAGAGCACGACTGGTATGTGGTATGTAAATTCAGTCTGCTTTTAATTACCCTGTGCCTTGTGCTGGTGCCACATCCATGAAATCAACTTCCCCCCTCTGGATCCTGGTTCTTCCATCTTTTTTGTAGGTTTTCTTTGTTCCAACATTTTCTTCTCCCCTGTATTTCTTTTATTAGCTTGCATTTCTTCCTGCTGATTAAGCAAGAATTGCCACTGTTTGGCTGCCCAGCTTCCACTGACCTCAGTAGGGAAAAATTGTATGCAGTAAATGGGAATTATTTTTCCCTCATCAGAGAATTTCTTTAAAAAGACAAAAACCAAAAAACAAAAACAGCTGCTGGCTGTAGTCTGTTCTTCTGTTATACAAAGAGCAGAAGGAGAGAAGCTGCCTGTAGTGTTTAAAGAAATCAGACAAGACTATAAGCAGGTCATCAGTTCTTGATTTAGTTATGAGACTTGGTATTTCCTTATATTTCCCAATACCCATCTTTCAAGAGGTCAGGAAAGAAGGTGATGAAAAAGAAGAGCAAAAGTGTGTAAAGAGCCCGTTAGGTAACAATCTTACAGGTAAAATGAGAAAGGTTATGATGATTTAAGGGATGTTAAAGTCTTGACCAAATATAAAATATGTCTTATTTACTCTAACTAGAATATAAAAATTCAAAAGAACCATAGGAAATGCTTAAATTCCTGATTGCCACTGCATAAATTAACCTTAAAAATGCAAAGTTTGAAAAACACATGAAGGAAACTTTTTAATGTGGAAGACAGAAGAGAACCAATGAAACCTGACAATAAACATCATGCTTATTCAGGAAATATGAGCAGCTCAGGAAAGTGTTTCCTGCAGATTAAACGTTTTAATGGTCAGTAAGGGATGGCTTAAAAGATTTAAAGAGAAACGTATATAAAATTTCAATGTGCAAAAGCCTGCTAGTTTTTATTAAAGATGGAACTTCGTTAGTTTCTTGAACACCATGCTACAAATAAATACCATATTTTGTTCTTAAAACTCCCAGAACTATGAGAGGTTCTCCGACGTTAAGCTACCACACTTCCAATAAAGCCACCACACTTCATTCTAAGTTACTGTTTCCCCCAGGAGTTAGGGCACGGGTAAGGAGGAAGAATTTGTGCTTGTTGGTCTAAGGAGTGCTTCTTCAGGCAGAGGCTGACACCTACACAAGCGCAGGTAAATGAACACTCTCCCCACCTTGACTTTGACAAAGATTGGGCCCATCCTTACTCTGGTAGCTCAGATTTATCACTTGTTAGATAATGGATAAAAGATGAACTTCTGCATAAGAAAGGCGGTTTAAGAATTTGAATGTATAGTGTCAAAAATGTATGAGTTTAGTGAAAATTGATAGCCATCTGTATTTTGATACAATCTGTTTTTCCTGGAAAAATCATCCAAATTTGGAATGAAGCCATGGAAGTGTTTTTTTATTTCCCCTTTGTAAGACTTTGTTTTCTTTGGGTTCTTAAGGTGTATAAAAAAGAAACTGTTTAAATAGGCTAGTTTCAAAATTTGTGCTCCCCCAACAAGACAAGAAAATGTCTACATCTTCTGGTGCATACTCATATTTTTTTCAGAGTAAATGTCCCCAACCCAACCCCCCAATTTGATGTTTTAATGTTTGTTTTACTATTTCCAATGAGAGCTAAAAGGAAGTTTCTCAATTCTCAAACATGCATTTTAATCACTCACCCTCATGAACTTAGAATATTTATTTAATACTTGAGGTATTAATTTAAAAGTTGGAGTTTCATTTAAAAATTGGAGTATGTATTTAATTTTTCATTTCATCTACCTCAAACTTTGAAATGGAAAAATAAAATTTTATTTATTCAAGGTAACTTGATACACAGCTTTTCAGGGAAAAAAATCTATTGGGTAATATTAAGTACACATAGTTTGTTTCCAAAATAGTTAAGTTATTGACGTATACCATCATGTAAAAAGTGCTATACATTAAAGTTTGGTGCTATAGCCAGTAAGTAGATCATTGTTACATATTTTCTTAAAAACGAAGTTCCGCCTATGCACATGGGCTTTGAGCACATTTCAGATGGTTCCTGAATAAAAAATCAAAATTGGCTACCAGTTGCCATTTAATATATTTCATCACATGAAGAAAAACAAAAGATAAGGTTCTTTCAGAAGGATGGAAAATGAGCTAAAAAGCAACTTGTAATATTTATAGCATTTCTGTGGGTGGGGGTGGCAAGGCTTCATTGAGATCTTGATCGGAGCTAGGAAGAATAGAGAACTCCTGACATTGGACCTCACTGTTGGAATTTTCTGGGGTTTTCATACAATCTCCTGGTGGCCCAGGCAAGTTAAGTGAGTCAGGGGGAGGCAGAAATGGCTGTTTGAACTCAGAATTATGATCTTCACAGACTTGATCGAGACCATCCAGAGGTGGTGGGAGATTGATGGAATCATTTGGAAGAGGAGATACAATTGTCACTGTGGGTTTGTCAGATTGGTAACTCTCCTGTCCTTCCAAATCAAGGAGAGGAGGTGGTGGAACCAAGTCTGTGTCATCTGAGGAAGAAACAGCAGTGCCGATCGTTGATCCACCAGCACTCTCCTCCGATGTACCGTTTACTTGATCTTTTATTTTTTCTCTTTTGAGGCTGTTGAACTCTTCAGTGTGTTCAGTTGATTCAAACAACTTAACTTCTAAGTCATCTGCTAAAAGTGTGTTTTTGCTTGGTTTCCAGGTCATAAGTGAAATAATTGATGTTCGTTTTGTGGGTGCTTCATTTTCTCTAAAGTTATCCAGGCATATGTCAGGGGTTTCCCCATCAGCAAACGGAGACCTACCCGCCCAGTTTTCATCATTTAAAACTGGTTTTCTCAAGCATTTGCATGGTACAATAATGATTATAGCTACCAACAAAAATAACAGAATTGTACCAGCTATTATGGCAGCTAGTGATTCAGAACTGATTGTACTGGGAGTTTCATGTGGAGTTGTACTGGGACTTTCTAGGTAGAATCCTGGTGTACTCCTAATTGATGTTGGTTGTGTGGATAGATTTGGAACAGTTGGTGGTACTGGTGTTTTAGAAGAGGTGTGGACAGATGATAGTTGTTGAGAAGAAGTATAGACAGATGGTGGCGATTGTCTGGAGGAAGCAGGAGCAGATGTTTGTAGTTGTCTGGCAGAGGTGAACACAGGTAGTGCTGTTTGTTGGGAGGAGGAGTTGGCCGTTGGTGTTGGTTGTCTGGTGGTGTTAGAGGCAAGTGGTTGTCCAGCAGGAGTGTGGGCTGCTGGTTTTTCAGAAGTGGCATTGGCAGCTAGTGTTAATTTTCCAGCAATAACTTTGGCAGTTGGCATTGATTGTCTAGAGGACATGTTGTTGAATTGTGTTGATTGGCCCAAAGGATTCCCTGTTGTGTTTTGAGAATTAGCTGAGACCTGTGGCCTTGGTGATGTAAATAAAGTAGGTTGTGGCTGCTTCTCTGTTGTCATTGCTTCTTTTTCTGCGAAAACTGTATTGTTCATGTGTCCGCAAAACAAAATTAAGATGAAATACTTGGGATCCATTTCAGAACGTTTCCTCTTTACCAGTGGTTTTATAATAAAAGAAAGAAAGACAATTAGGTGTCTGGTATAAAGCAGGTAGGTCTTGATTAATATTTATTATTCCTAATTTGGACTTGATATCCTATATAAGCTAGTGTAAACAAGTTTTGAATATACTTTTAACTTACCATTCTACATTGAGACCTCATAGGCAGTGATTTCTCTTAATTCTTTCATAAGATCTGTACTTGGCCTTGCTGCCCCTTTAGCTTCATTACAGTCCAGTGCTTTATTTCAGTCATACTTCTCAAGGACATAGGGTCTGTGTGCCGGTTCCACCTGCTCTCTACCTTTTCTCCCTTTACAATTTGAAGTGTATTTATTGATCCTGCTGCCTGGAAGGACACCGGTAACCATCTATTATTTTATCCAAAGGTCTTTTCTTTTGTCTCTCTCTTTTTTCTCTCCCTCTTGACCACATTTGATGCTAATGACTATTCCTTCACTACTTTTTGAGGATCTCTTTGTAAGAGTCTTCTTTTCATGTTAACATCACTAGCTCCGTTTTTGTTTTTGTTTTTGTCTCCTAAATGTGGGTAGTTGATATTCAGTTGTCATCTTATCTGCTTTTCTTTGATCCTGAATCTGTAAGGTTTCACCTCTCACCTTTATGCCATAACTCCCAAACCTGTACACCCAGCCCAAATTTCCTTGATTCTAGTTCCATTTGTATGATTTCTTGGTGGACATTTCCATGTATATATCCCACTATCAGTAAATTCAACATATTTAAAACAATTCAGCTGCATCTCAAAACTGACTCCTCTCCCAGCCTCTCTATTTTTAATGGCACTACCTTTGTACGCTTCTTATGCACAGCCTATTGTATTAGTAGTCTTTGCATTATCACCAGTGTTTAGCACTACATCTTTATGGTAGGATCTCATATTTTTAAAGGATTCAATTCAACTCAAGGTCCTCAGCTAAAATCCTAAAGTGACCTTTGAATTTGGATGAGTCAGTTCTATCCAGGTGGTAAGGTCGTCCTGCAGCTACTTACATACTTACATCATCTTTGTGTCAGGACCTGTTCTAGGTTTAGGAGATTTATAAA